TGTTCTGTGAAAGGATGAAAATCTACATAATAACAATATTATTATTGGTAGACAAGGTAGAATTTCAAGTTTTCTTCCCTTAACGATGTAATATAAAATCTTACTGCTGATTTATATACTAGAACCTTCATGGCGCCGAGTTGAATACGAATAGCTGAATATGAATTAGTTTAGTGTGAATAGTTCAATATGAATTAGTTTAATGTGAATAGTTGAATATGAATTAGTTTAGTGTGAATAGTTCAATATGAATTAGTTTAGTGTGAATAGTTCAATATGAATTAGTTTAATGTGAATACTTGAATATGAATTAGTTTAGTGTGAATAGTTGAATATGAATTAGTTTAGTGTGAATAGTTGAATATGAATTAGTTTAGTGTGAATAATTGAATATGAATTAGTTTAATGTGTATAATTGAAAATGGACTAGTTTAATATGAATAATTGAATAATAAACTATGTAGCAGATTAATGAATAATAAAATTATTTAGCCGATTAATTGGGGTACTGATCACAATAATCCGAGTTCTGTTTTATGATTTCAAGCTCAAACTTAGTTATAAATGTCTTTAAACTAGTGACAAGTCTAAAAATTACAAATTTTAAATTTAAAAACTGATGAATTCCGAGAATTCTGAATATTTTTTCCCGGAATGAAAACTATGACTTATGAGCTCAGTGACCGACGCAAAATATGAATAAATTTCAAGTTTCCTGAACACACACGCAAGAAAAGAGGAAGTTTTGATTAGTTTGTGAGATCCTTTAGTTTTTTTGTGTGAATATTTGCATGACATCAACGCCCGATGATTGTCGCATAATAACACAAACATTTTTTCATGGCAATTTTTTAAAATTTTAATGAATATTTAAGTAATTTCATGAACGATTATGCTGAAAAATTCGGGAGGGAGATAGCCCAATGATTGTTGCAAAATAACAGAGACATTTTTTCATGATAATTTTTTAAAACTTTTATTGAATATTTATAAAAATTTAAGAATGATTATGCTGAAAAATTCTGGAGTGGGATGGAAACTTTAGAAAATAGTATATTGTGAAAATTTTATCGAATAACTTGAAGACACTATATTTAAATTCACGAAGTAGAGCTTATGTGTATCTATACTTTGAAGTTTGAATGAAGAATCGGTCGTTTTTTATCTACTTGAAAATTTCCTACAATAAAATGTATCTATTCCTATAATATGATCTAATTATAATTCACATAGGACTGATGTTAAGAAAGTTTCTTCTATTTGAAGAAGCCAAATAATTTCTGCCATATAGTTTGGTGGAGAGAACGTCTCTACTATATACTCGATCCCTTATATTAATTTATATAGGATCGATTACGGTATGTATTATTGATTAAATAATTACATATAATTTAACATTCATAATATATTCCTTTGATATTCTCCATCGTCATAGTTCATGCTTAATACGTTTCCAGCGTCCATTACTATTCATTCTTTTGCTCGCTTATTCGATTACATTTTTTACTGTGAACTATTTAATGACGAGTATATATGATTTATTTACCGTTTTTTTCAGATAAATGTTCTTTGACTAAATTTTTTTAATCAAAATGTCTTGTCTTTAATATTATTTTAGATTTAATTGCTGAAGAAACTTTTCAATCTAAAAGTGCATTTGTTCACTAGGAAAAAAAAACACTAGTAAATAACGTAGCATTTCTTTGGACACATCCCTTATTCGTCAATACAAATAATGAGGAGCTTTGATAACTAGAAATAATACATGGAAATGCTGTTTTTAATATTATCTCATAAATGTGATTAAAATTTATCTCTGAAAAGTATTATTCTTTTAATTGTACTTAATCTTCGGAAGGATGAGAAGCAACACTCGTGTAAGTGTAATTTCCTAATTATCGTTTCATAACTGTAATATTATTTTTTATCAGTCGGGTTAATTAACAAAGTCTCATTGTGCCACCATTATTTCGGTAAATTATCCAATTAACAAAGTATCATTGTGCCTTCATTATTTCGGTAAATTGTCCAATTTACTCGAAAATTCAAGGATGAAGTGAAAGATTTTTCGTAAACCCAGTGGCTCGAGCACGGAGACCAAACAAGCATAACCTCACCCGACGGACGCTCCAGCTGCACTGAGAGTGAGAACTTCAGCAGTGTTGCCAGGTTTTTTCTTGGCAAGAATACCAGATTGCCCAGCTCAAAATACCAGAAATATACCAGAAATTCTATTGTTCAAAAACAGACTAATACATTCAAATTTTATAAAACTATTCAACAGAAACTTTGGATAGAAACAGAAAAAAATTATTTTCTGTACGGTACTGTGCATTCATCTGGCTTGACGATAATTAGCCAAATTGAACACGTTATATTTTTTCATTCTTTTTGGAACATCTTGACACTTTTCTTTTCCTGTGTTTGATTACATTGACAATTTTTCCTTTTTTTTATCACAGTGTCAGTGTGGCACTTCTTCCCCTTCGCTCAAGATGAGCAAGTCACGGAAATAGGTCATCTTCATTTTGCTTATTTTCGTACATGCTTGCACATTGCTTTAATCTAACAATTTCGGGTTTTATTACTAGTTGCGGCTGAGCAGATGGCTTTTGGTCCGAATAACGGACTCCAGCACCTTAGTTGAAATTTTATTTCGTAGCTTGTTTTTCACATAGGTGACTTGTGAAAACACTCGCTCCACGAATGCATTGGAGACAGGTCAAAGTAGACAAGTGAATGAAGTGAGGCAGTAGGCAGCCAGTTCCATGAATGGATGATGATTTTCAAGATCAGTGAAATATGGAATGGCACCCCAGAATTCTAGTGACACTCCGATAAGTGGCACTCTAGAATTAAAAAACCACCAAGCAAAAATGGTGGAGCTTGCGTTGCAGAGTGATGTTGTCGGTTCGACAACCTCACTCGTCCTAGGCCATATCATCACTGATCAGTAATCAATCAAGGATCATCACTCTCGTGCTTAATTGCACTAAGCACTTTTGTTAGATGTTAAAAATTAGATTGGGGTTATTTCATCAAGCGGTAAACTTGCGGTTCTAAAAATGGTGGGAAACCTCTAGTCGCGCCGCTCGGAAGGTAATCTATATAATCACGCCTATGCTGGAGGAAGTTAAAACTTCAAAGGTGGAACCTAATGCGGTAAATTTGCCAGTAAGTCAGAAAATACCAGAAAAATACCAGATTTAGGCAAATATACCAGATCTAAAATATTCATACCAGACACCCTCTGAAAATACCAGATTTGTGAAATCTGGTATAGAAATATACCATCTGGCAACGCTGGTGAGAAGTATTTGAGAAACACGTGGCGATGTGCTTGAATTATTTTTTTAAACGTGGTAAATTATATTAAATGATGTTATTAAAATAATAAATGTGGTAAACTAAATCTTGCACTATTATACCCAGCTGTTCTTTCTATATATAGGAAAATCAATGCGTGATGCGATTTAAATTTAAAGGTTTAATTTATCAAATTTGAGCGTGGTAAGCTTGTTATAAAACTGAATAAGTTGTCTTCAATTATTGCTCTCTTATGGGCCTCTTCTTAAAAGTTCCATTATTCCAATGGTTATATAAGGTTAGTGATGAATCAATAATACATGTGTTGGACACCGATGGGAATGAAATAGAAAAAACATTTGCATTTTGCTAAAACACAAACTGTCTAATATCCACAATCAGTAACGTTTTCAATCATCATATTAATAAATAAGTATAGTTTGGTTAATTGCATTCGTATGGAATAAATATTAATGTTTTTAAATATATACTCCGAAAAATAAACGGGTGAGATCGTCACCCGCAGAGAAACATTTTAAATAAATAGCTTCACTTCTAACTAGGTCAGGATTGATATTGATTCTAAAAAAATTATGCATGGGAAACATTCCATATAAATATTTGTTAAAAATTAAATGTCGAAATTCGTGCCATGAATGTAGTTGTGGTTTTGTGATCCATGACTTCCGTGTAATATATTTTTTCTGAATTGTTTAGCTGGATTTTTATTATTATTAATATTATAATTATTATTATTATTATAATTATTATTTGTCGCCGACGGTAGATAGACGTGTAGATGTCGCCGACGGTAGATAGACGTGTAGATGTCGCTGACGGTAGATGGACGTGTAGATGGAACGAAGAGGTCTGCTGTTGATGATGAACGCAGTCGTCTTTTTCAACGATCATGAATTTCGTCCCGCAATGAGCTCAATTCTCTCTCGTGAATGTTGTTCCTTTCAGCCATGAATGTTACGAACCAAGCTTTACCCTTCTCATCTACCAGTATTTCGCATTTCCGTGCAAATAAAAGTCGTTTTCTTTCAGTCACGACAAATCTTCAAGTGAGTTTGTTTCTAAAGAAATGATTTTTTAGGGCTCAACTTTGCACAACTAATGCAAATTAAATTATCCTCGCTAGCTGAGATCTCTTCGGAGAACTAGCAACTTTATTCAACAAACTTATTGATGACTCACGCGACTTATACGGTGTATTTGTTAAGATGAACCATGGACCTGCTTGAAAAGTTTGATTGTTTTCTTTCTGGCAATCACACGAAATTTGGAGTTACTTCGATTTAATACATTCACTGAATTTTTGGTTGTCTGAGTAATAAGTACAGCGACAGAAGCAATGTGCTGTTAACGCACGTCTCCGCTCCTCTGTTAAAAATTTCGTCAAATTAAATATTCTACTGAAATGTTTCTTCCATGATAGTTGAAGAGGATGGGACTTACAAGATATTATAAGACACTAGAATTTTTTTTATATATTGAGACACTAGAGATAATGAGACAGCAGAATTGTAAAAATGATATAAGATAAGTCATTATGTGTGGACAATCATGGTTGAACTAGTTCAACCACGTGGACAGTATTTTAGTTTAGTCATTAGGCAAAAATTCCAGCAAGATCCGGGTTTTAGCTCATACCGCGAAAGTTTAAAGTCCGATCACTCCGATTATTGTCTTGAAATTTTCGTGCCTTGACTGCCTTCTAGTCGGAGCAGTTTACTAGGTTCTACGCGTTGCCGGTAAGTCTGTTTGTAAGGTAGGCTAACTAAGGTTGAATAATCAATAACCAGTTTCATATACACGCATGAAATTGGCTCATGATTTTGGTAATGTTGCACAAATTTCTATGAAAGAAGTTCTAGTAATTATTTTCAGAGGAGAAGTAGTCCTAGCGACCTAGCCTCCTAGGTAAGAGACTTGGTAGATTTTAGAACTCTTCAGCTTCTATTCTATCATGCGCGAACGCTGGCTGAACCGCATACCGGTACCGCCGTTACCGCGTAGGCAAGCCTACCTTAGTGTTAGTGAGGACCCAGTCACTAGAAGTGAGGACTAGGTAGTCTGTACTCAGTAGAGCAGATATTTTTCGCTCCTATTTTAAATTGTGAGTGATGTGATTGTGATTTGTGTGGTTTCTAATTATTTATTTGTTTTTGTAGAATTTAATTGGCATTAAATTTCAATATTCAGAAGTTTTTGTTCATTTCTTTATTTTATTGCATTTCTTGAGATAGGCTATTTTCTTTTTAAAATTTTACTATTATGTTTCCTTATTTATTGACTTTGATCAATATATAATTGCTTAAATACTTCTGCTATTCATAGTGGCAAAGCAGAAGATTTTTTAGACTCTCCCTCAAGTTCATTTTTGAGTCCTACAAGTAGACAAGCTAAGTATCATGGATACCAGCATTATAATACATAAGAAATCGGTGCAAATCTTGAGTAAATAAGGAAATTAAAAATGAACTGATTCTAAAAAACCTCTGGTTTGTCACTATGCTGCTATTTAGCCTATTCCTCTCTCATTCATGTAATTGATTAATTGAATATGTTTGATTGGAATCTTTGCCCATAGGAATAGGATTCACTAAGGATTGATAAATTCTTACTCTACTATACCAGGATTAGAATTTTCCTACTTGTTTCTGAATTCTCGCGGCTTCAACGTGACAAATTTTTGATACATTTGGAATCTTGCGGGCTGCGGCTGCCAGCCTGATTGTGCATTTTTGTCAACAATTATATAGGGTAAATGCGGTATATTCCAACACATTAAGGACGCATCGAGAAATGAAAAACTATAAAAAAAACCGTATGCGTTATGTAAGTTCTGTTGCCTTCACGTGACTCTCAAAACACTTCACTACGCGTCAGCAACGATGAAACGTCACAAAATGTTGCCATATTTATTAAAAAGCCTTTAGAATGGAAACCTACCAAATCCCTATATTCCTGTCTCTTATACACATCTAGATGTGTATAAGAGACAGCTACAGAGTCTTATATATGGTAATTTTAACTTAATTTCCAAGCCAGTCAATATTACCCCATCAGGGCTGCCATTAGGTAGTCACATTTCCCTCATTATGGGGCGGCGCCCCCCATTTGCAAACTATGACACTTTCCTCAAGTTTGTCATTTGCATATGTAACTAGAAGAGTTCTACTACAATGCACCAAAACCTGGAGTTATTTGGAGTTATTTTACCAAAAAATAAAATTGATTTTACCACCCAGTCAAAGAAACCCCAAGAGCTGGGGTAACAAAGACCATCACTTTTTTTAAAATTACATAAAGACTATGAGAGGCAGGAGCCAGCAATTTATGGTGAGTGAAGCTAGAGTATAGACCTGTATTTTGCATGTTTCAATTCAAGTTTAATTTAGCTAGTAAGAAAATGGCATCATTTATAAGAAAAAAAGTGGTCTAAGTTACCCCTTTTAAGGTATCCTTTACTATCCACAGACTAAAACACTTACACACAACATAACTGATTTCTGGACAAGCTTCACTGCATCCTGTTCCTTCCAGCATACCAGAAACTTTACTGTGTGCGCTTTTGGTCTTTCAGATTTCCAGTAATTTCAAAGTTATTTCTCATATGCAATAATTTCCATCCAAATGTGTTGGCAAGATCTTCTGAAGGAGTAAATTTTGCTGCTGATGCATTGCCAAAGATCTTGTGATGTTCACCCACTTTCTGCACAGTGGATTATGCCCAGATATTATGCTATACTTAAGTTTTAATCTGGAATACTGGAAAAATGTGTTGAAAATCATGGGTAAAAACTATTTACTAATTAGCGATTATTGAAAATTACAAGCACAAATGTGTCAATTTTCTTGTATTGTTTAAGAAATTTTGCAAAGGCTTTGTAAATGGACAAGTTGGGAAAAATACTATTTTTTTCTGAAATACCGCAGCTCTAATATCACATAATTTTAGTAGGTATGAAATCTTGCTGCTCTAATGTCAAATATTTTTGGTTGATTGAAAAAAATTGTAGTTTGCACTTGCAAACATGTTGTTTCATATGCAATACTTCAATACTACTGCCAAAATATCCTGCAGAACGCAATGCTAATTATATAAATGTTTTGTTGAAGATTGCATAGGTGCCGACTTGCAGTCACATCAGAGCGGTAGCAGTCAGACTGCATTATCATGTGTTCAGTTGCCACTAAAGTGAAGATGAATGTTAGTGTTGCTGTGTGACTCAATTGACTGTTTTTTGGATAAAATTAGAGATTTAGGGTATCACATGCACAGGACTTGGTAAATAAATTTGCAGCTTGTAAATGGCTCTTCATGGCTGAGATGTGGAGTTAATGGCTTGAAGAAATGGAATCACGGCTGGCAGATCCATAAAACCATGGCTCAAAAAATCCAGTCATGGCTCACCTAGTAGATATATTCCATGCCTTGTAAACAGGCAGAATTAACTGCAGCATAGGCATTTTTGTCTTTTATAAATCGTGGATGGCTTCTGCCCAATTTTCCTGAATGCTTCCATGTCTGTTATTTATTAATACCTAATTCTTTGATAATTTTTTTAGCATCTTTATGCTCCTGCCACTCACTTGTGCTTTACTGTTGGTTTGCATTCATTCCTGTTAGTGCTGTTACTATAAATATCTCTAAATTGTGCAGAATTGATGTAAATTGTAAAATATCAGAGAATCCAGTAGTACTTATTTTTTCCGTAATATATATAATTCATTTCATTAATGTACTGTAAAATGGGGTAACTGAGACCACTTTCTTTTTTATAAATGATGCCATTTTTTTACTAGCTAAATTAAACTTGAATTGAAACATGCAAAATACAGGTATATACTCTAGCTTCACTCACCATAAATTGCTGGCTCCTGCCTCTCATAGTCTTTATGTAATCTCAAAAAAAGTGATGGTCTTTGTTACCCCAGCTCCTGGGATAACTTAGACCGGGTGGTAAAATCAATTATATTTTTTGGTAAAATAACTCCAAATAACTTTCAAAACCTGGAGTTATTTAACCAAAAAATAAAAAAATTGGAGGGGGTACTCTGACAGGCTTTAAATAATTGCTTTTTTTCATGGGTCACATTTTTAATTTTTTAACCTATTAGATATGCAAACTTTTCAAATCTTTCTACTGTGTTATGTAGCCTCAGTATTAGGCCTTTAATGCCCATTGACAAAATTTTTCTATGTCAAATAGTTTTTGAGTTGTGGGGGTTTTTGTTAAAAAAACGAAAAGTGGTCTAAGTTACCCCGCCGGTCTAAGTTACCCCATTTTACGGTACTATTTATTACAGGAATGGCAGATGAAGCTGGGGTGGAAGACAAGATGTCATCAGAGGCTCTAGCGACGCTTGCTTTGCGGCTACAAAAGAATGCCAGTGAAACACTCAGATTGATTGAGTTAGTAAGTTTTTTTAAATGTCTCTTAACGGATACTTTAATGCCTGGCATAGATCCATATTTTATAATTTGACAATTTGGTATTAATGCTGTAGGTATATATATGTACCTAGGTTCTTATGAGTTTCATATATTGTTGTTTAGGTATTGTACACACACACACACACTTATTGTACACACACACATTGTACACTTCACACACACACACACACACACACACTTCCACATTACCTCTCAGGCAAATAATGTTGTTGAAATGGTGATCATGAGTTGATTTCATTTACACCTCATATGATTAAGTTCTTAATTTTTATCTGGTTGTTGAATGGATTTAGCTGAAAAGACACAGTTCAATTCTTCATTATGTAGGTAACCGTATATAATTTATTTAATATTTTTGTTGCCTTAAATGAATTTGCCTTATTGTTAGGTTCCTTAGTTGCAGTTTGTATAATAATTCACATGATGGAAATTTTTTTTTTTTAAGAATCTCGCTTATGTTAAAATTGAATTTCAATGAATAAATCTTATGTTGATATTACTGATACTTTGAATAATTCACATAATATTGCAGTCGTGGGAAGGCTACACCTGTGCGGGGCGCATCGGCCATGTCAGCGAGATGCGACAGCTGCACGCAGAGTTGATGTCAACGTCAGAGCAGCTGACACAGCACCTGCACACTGCGCCTGACTTCTTGGTCGGCAAGCAGCTCGCTGTGTCGCGCAGGAAGTGTCTCGAGGCTGCCGCCAGGTCTGATCTCAAACAAACCGCTCCCACAGCAAATAATTTGCATGCCATGTAGAATCTGCCATATAAAATCTGCTGCAAGGTCTGATCTCGAAATAACTGCTCCCACAGCAAATAATTTGACATATAAAAATATGGTTTGATTATGGGGTGTGTAACACCATGGTTATAAAATATAATTTAAAGCCATATAAAAATCTAAAATCTGCCATATAAAAATCTGCCGCCAGGTCTGATCTCAAACTAACTTCTCCTACAGCAATTAATTTGCATGCCATATCTTAATTTTTGTGAAGATTGTGTTTTAAACAATTGGCTTCATGAAGATTGTGTTTGAAAGAATTGGCTTTCATAAAGATTGTGTTTGAAAGAATTGGCTTTCATAAAGATTGTGTTTGAAAGAATTGGCTTTCATAAAGATTGTGTTTGAAAGGATTGGCTTTCATAAAGATTGTGTTTTAAAGAATTGGCTTTCATAAAGATTGCATTTTAAATAATTGGCATTTCATGAAGATTGTGTTTTAACATATTGGCTATCATGAAGATTGTGTTTTAAATACTTAATTAACTTTCATAAAGATTGCATTTTAAATAATTTGTTTACATGAAGATTGCTAACCGTATCGTTATTCATGAAAGTTGCATGCTACCTATAGTAGGTATGTATATCTGGGTATTGTAGTGTTGGCTCTGAAGAATTAGTGAAGTTTAGCCTGTCATTGATTCTTAAAATTTTTTTAACTTGTTAACAGGAAATTTGAAATATGGCTTTTTGATAAGATCGTCTCAAAACTGATGTTTATATGAAACTGACTTCTTCCACCATTTATAATTTCTATACGGTACTACTCAATGTTTATGAATATTACGTTCTGAAAACTTCTTTCACCGCAAATCATTCATGTGCCGTTTTCTTTATTGCTTATGAGAATCTTGTTTAGCGATTGTATCTATAATTGAATTGGTTATTAATTTTAAATTGTACAGGTACTTTAATACAAATTACACCCATACATTGGTGATACCACTTCATGTGTTGTAAGTTTGATTTTCCTGGAACCTTTGCCTATTGTTATTACTACGTAGAAGATACAATGCTACATGTAAATATAAAGCGTTTGGTTGCGCTGATAAGGCTTGTTTTTAAAGTTATTTGTTTAAACAGCTTGATTTAGCTTTTAGGTAGCAATAAACAGCTTAATTAATTTATTAGGTATGGTAGTAGTAGTAATAGTGGTCAATTATTCAATTTTTTTTTATTTTTTTTACTCCATGCTAATTGGAATATAATGCATTCTCTGGTCATTAATTATACGTGTTTCTATAACTTTATTTGTATACTATTTAGTGATAAATAACGTTTTTTTGCGACAACCATCTGTGACTTCCATGATATTGAAAAATTTTATCTTTATTGGAATGAAAGCGTGCGCTGTGGGCTGAACCGCATTGCTATAGATGGTGTTTTTAATATGATTTTTTTCTTAAAATCGGTAAAAATGTTTTGTGCAATGGACTTTATTGGTGGCATCTAAATATGGAACTCATAAATAGATACATACTTTTGAGTCAGGTTTAATTTGAAATTTGTTCATCTTGTTTTGCTCATCATCAGCCCTTGATCAGGTTGCATTTCATATTTGTAAAAACATACAACTTCACCTCTCTAAAACCTGGAAATATTTTGCTCGCAATGGACCAGTGATGATTTACTTACTCAAACTGTGATGGAAGCTACAAACTTTTGCCTAGTGGTCACTTAGCTAGCAGATTTCTGTTTACTTTTCTTACAACTATTTATTGACAATTCATCTTAATAACTAACTATTTAGTGTAGAATAATTTGTATTTATATCATAAAATTTTGTGCAGAATTGAAGCTACGCTTGCCGAGAAGGCATTAAACGCAAGGAAAAGGCGCTGCCGCTCTCAGAACTGTTGTTATTGCTCAGCCGTACAGTCCAGCGATGATCAAGATGGTAAGATGGTGGATTATTATAAAATTATGAATTATTGCAAAACTGGGGATTATTTTGGAATGATGGATTAAGATGAAATGGTGAATTACTCTGAAACAGTGGAGTTTCATTGAATGGATTGTTGTGAAATGGTCAATTGTTGTAAAATTATCGATTGTTGCAAAGTGGTGGATTGTTGTGAAATGGTGGATTGTTGCAAAGTGGTGGATTGTTGTGAAATTATCGATTGTTTTGAAATTGTCGATTGTTGTGAAATGGTCAATTGTTGTGAAATGGTGGATTGTTGTGAAATGGTGAATTGTTGTGAAATTATCGATTGTTGTGAAATTGTTGATTGTTGTGAAATGGTCGATAGTTGTGCTATGGTCTATTGTTGTGAAATGGTTGATTGTTGTGAAATGGTGGATTGTTGTGAAATTGTTGATTGTTGTGAAATGGTCAATTGTTGTGAAATGATCGATCGTTGTGAAATGGTGGATTGTTGTGAAGTGGTGGATTGTTGTGAAATTGTTGATTGTTGTGAAATGGTCAATTGTTGTGAAATGGTCGATTGTTGTGAAATGGTCAATTGTTGTGAAATGATCGATTGTTGTGAAATGGTCGATTGTTGTGAAATGGTGGATTGTTGTGAAATAGTCGATTATTGTGAAATGTTTGATTGTTGTGAAATGTCCGATTGTTGTGAAATGTTCAATTGTTGTGAATTGGTCGATTGTTGTGAAATGGTCGATTGTTGTGAAATGGTTGATTGTTGTGAAATGGTCGATTATTGTGAAATGTTTGATTGTTGTGAAATGTTTGATTGTTGTGAAATGGTCAATTGTTGTGAAATGTTTGATTGTTGTGAAATGTTTGATTGTTGTGAAATGGTCGATTGTTGTGAAATGGTCAATGGTTGTGAAATGGTCGATTGTTGTGAAATAGTCGATTGTTGTGAAATAGTCGATTGTTGTGAAATGGTCGATTGTTGTGAAATGGTCAATTGGTTTGAAATGGTTGATTGGTTTGAAATGGTCGATTCTTGTGAAATGGTCAATTGTTGTGAAATGGTCGATTCTTGTGAAATGGTTGATTGTTGTGAAAGGTGTATTGTTTTGAAATGGTTGATTGTTGTGAAATGGTCGATTGTTGTGAAATGGTCGATTGTTGTGAAATGGTCGATTGTTGTGAAATGGTCGATTGTTGTGAAAGGTGGATTGTTGCAAACGGGTGGATTGTTGTGAAATTGTGGATTATTGTGAAATGGTAAGTTATTGTAAAATGGGGAATTATTGTGAAATGGAGAATTTTCGGGAAATGAGGGATTTTTGTGAAGTGGTGGATTATTGTGAAATGGTGAAAAATTTCACAGACCACTTAATGATCTTTAGAGATAAAAACAACAAGGATATGTTAACAGGTACTACCCTATATATTGTACAATGTAGTACAATACGTGTATGTACAATGATAATAGCTGTCAATGTACAATATGTGTATAATATTTTTATCTACCCTATAAAAACAACAAGGATATATTAACAGGTATCAAGGATGCCAGTGACGACGCGGCGCAAGATGGGACGTCAGAAAGTTATGGACTGAGACTCGGTCCTGACGGTTCATCTAATGCTTTTTATCTTATCCCGGTAAGGTCCTTTAATTAAATACTTGTTCATGTGATTTTCTATGCCATTTTTTATTATTTTCTATATTATTACCTGTAATATGCCATACAACTGCTCTCTGTACTAGGTATATTCTATAATTTCTAAATGATTTGCCCAAATTATTAAACTGGATTTTTACTTTTTTATAAGGTACTTATTTTTTATAAGTTGAACTATGTTCTTTAAATTTCGAACTGACGATGGAACTGGTCTAAGAAACGTTCTCCATTTTACCATACGTAGGTATATAATATACCTACTTGTATAATACCGGATATATATCTATATTATGTTCAGCTTTTTACATGTGTATTTTATTTTTCACCAGTCAATTATATTCATACCTAAATGTCTGGTAACAAAGAAAAGTGTCAATAAGGAAAGGGTGGAACTTTTGACCATGGATATACATGCATTAAGCATCGTCTGTGCTCTTCATATACGCAGCATCAGTAACTATTGTTACCATCAGTAGACGAAGGCTTCATTTTTGCTAGATTTAATGTGTATACCAATACTACTAGTATTAATGAAAGTGTGTTAATGATAGTCATAATATTGATAAAAGTGAAACGTATACCTGAATTAACACTCCTGTATTTATGCTCATCATAATGTACTAGTGAGTGTATCAAAGCATTGAGACTATTGATGTATTACTAGTGTATTATTAAGTCCTATTAATGCTCAATACCCTCAGGGCGAGGCGCCTACCGATGACAGGGCACCGCTGCTGCCGTGGCGTGACGACGGCCTTGCAGCGCAGGCGCTAGGGGCGTCGCCCTCAGATTCTTCACCGCCGCTCTCCCCCAGAGCATTTAGTCCCTCGTTTCCCTTTAGTCCCTCGGCATTCATCCCTCAGCCTGTTAGTTCCTCACCTTCTGTCTTTGTTAGTTCCTCAGCTATTGTCCCTGTTAGTCCTTCAGCATTCATCCCTCAGCCTGTTAGTTTCTCACCTTCTGTCCCTGTTAATTCCTCAGCTATTGTCCCTGTTAGTCCCTCAGCATTCATCCCTCAGCCTGCTAGTTCCTCACCTTCTGTCCCTGTTAGCACCTCTGGTTCAGCCTCTCAACCTGTTTGTTCTTCAGGTTTCGTCCCTCAGCCTTTTAGTTCCTCAGCTTTCATCCCAATCCCTACCAGTTCCTCAGGTTTTGGCCTTCAAACTGTTAGTCCCTTAGGCTTAGTTCCTGTTTATTCCTCAAGTTTCATGCCTGTGCGTTCCTCAACTTTCGTCCCAGTGCCTATTGGTCCCTCAGGATTCATGCCTTCGCCTGTTAGTCCCTCAGGTTTAGTCCCTCAGCCTGTTGGTCCTTCAGGTTTTATCCCTTTTCCTGATCACTCTTCCATTGATCCGTCTCTGCCTGTTCATATTTGTATTGATGAAAAGTGGTCCCTGCCAGATTACTTCTCTGATGACCTGCAAATGCCAGATCTTTCTTCTATAGATCTATCCTTTCCTGTCCAGAGGACTGAAGATCCATCCCTTGTTCAAAGCACTGTTGAACCGTCCCTCTCTGTCCAAAAGACTGTTGATCCTTCCCTTCCTATCCAGAGAACAGTAGATCCGTCCCTCCCTGTCCTGAGGACTGTTGATCCGTTCATCCCTATCCAAAGGACTGTTGAACCATCCCTTCCTGTCCAGAGGACTGTTGATCCGTCCCTCCCTGTCCAGAGGACTGTTGATCCGTTTCTCCCTGTCCAAAGGACTGTTGATCCGTCCCTTCCTGTCCAGAGGACTGTTGATCCGTCCCTCCCTGTTCAAAGGACTGTTGATCAGTCACATCCTGTCCAGAAAACTGTTGGTCAGTCCCCTCCTGTCCAAAAGACTGTTGATTCATCCATGCCCACGCAAACTGCAGATCCGTCATTTCCTGTCCATTTATCCGTAGACCCGCTGATGCACCCGTCTGTTGATCCATTATCACCCGTCCACCCGTCTCTCACCCGCAATTTGACTGCAACTGTCAAATATTTGTGCTCGTCGGCTGTCTTGCTCAGAGTTGGATTTTTCTTGCAGTTATTCATAGCTGCTTCCATGGTGTACTTTTTAGTTAAATCCTGACGCATTAAAGTGTTTACTATGCTTTAACACGCATACCTCTACTTTATATCGGTCCTCCCTGTTATTTACGTTCTTAAGATCATGACTTGTATTTCTCTTTTATCAGGATCAATGTGCCTCTCGGCCATATGTTCTTAAACCATTCATTATGTTCTTTGAGATATAGCAAGCTCTTCTGGAACCAATTTCTTTACTGGAAATGTTAAAAAAAAAATTGTATTCCTAGGAAATTCTTATTTCAGTGATGCTTTAAGTGGAGTTGTTATTAGCCAGTAATTCTTATTTAATTAACTGGTCTGATTTTTTAAATTTCTGTCTTCAAAATAATTGTGGAAGAGGAACTTTCCTGTGTAGTCTTTGGTTTGATCAATGCTCTACAGTGCGTAAATCGAGTTTTGAATTAATTAGTTCGTATTTCCGCACTTGCCCCTTAACTCATCGAGTTAAGATATTATGGCACATTACATATTCATAATAATTACTTTTCCAATTTTATTAAATTTCAATGTTCTAAGAGTGCGCACTTCAAACGATGCACAGTAAACACTGAAATACGTTAGACATGGTGTACGGTTATGACTGTAACCTATTATTGTAGTTTTTTATTTACTTCCATCCTGAATCATTCCACTAAACATATCATATTGTACGATCCTCCTGCTATATTCGCCAGCAATGTTTTAGTGTAACATTCCACTTATCATTGCCACAATTTTTAACAATGATGTGGAATTGCCATAGATTTGGGAGCAATATATATTAACTTCACAAGTTAAACTTTGCTAAAACTAAAGTTCAACATAAGTGCTTCATTCTTGAATATAAATATTGACATATAGTATAGTAAATATCACTGCATTTCTCACTGATCTCTCCGATGGCTGTGATTATGGCAATAAGTACGTAGCCGTAGTTCACTGATGGTGTACAATATTACTGTACTAAGCTCCTAATTTTTTACTCGTTGATTCATCGCACTAATTAACTAATAAGGGAATATTACTGTACTAAGCTCCTAATTTTTTACTCGTTGATTAATCACACTAATTAACTAATAAGGGAATATTACTGTACTAAGCTCCTAATTTTTATTGTACACTTAGGGAGCTGTTTGCCAATAACTGTTTATCGTTGATGCATCACACCAATTAACTAAGAAGGGAAAGGGAATAAAAAGAAGGGAATGAAGCTCTATTTTAGCTCAGTGTTTGCTTGTCGTATGTAGACTATAGCTTTTAGTTTACATTTAATTTGAAGATTTTTCATGAATTGAAAGGGCGATTTTTATGTCTACTTGAGTTGCCATACTTATAAATGCTTCAGATTGTGATCATCTTCTCTCAGGAATGCTGTGTTACACTGAGATTATTGTTCAAGTCGAGTGATAGCTTTAGGAATTCTGTGTTACGTATTGTTCAAATCGAGTGATCACATTAGGAACGCTGTGTTACAATGAGATTATTGTTCAAATCGAGTGATCACATTAGAGATGCTGTGTTACTATGAGATTAATGTTCAAATACACTTCGTACTTTAGGAATGCTGTGTTACTATGAGATTAATGTTCAAATACACTTCGTACTTTAGGAATGCTGTGTTACTATGAGATTAATGTTCAAATACACTTCGTACTTTAGGAATGCTGTGTTACAATGAGATTATTCAAATACACTTCGTACTTTAGGAATGCTGTGTTACAATAAGATTATTGTTCAAATTAAGTGAACATATTAGATATGCTGTGTTACAATTAGAGTCTTGTTCAAATCGAGTGATCACCTTAGGAATGCTGTATTACAATGAGATTGTAAATCTACATATAATCTATTGCTCAGCATTTTATCTCATGTTCATTCCATATGCTGAACATTGAACGCGCTTTTACGAAGAATCAAACCCAACATATACACATACTCAATAGCCGTCTCAAATTAATTCTGTTAAGACGGTTAATTAATTTATATGTTTGATTGATGTACGGGTGATGAATGAGTGAACAGCCAACCAGGTGTATGCTCAGCCTCTTATGTTAGCATTAATAATAGTTAATATTATCATACGTGTTCCATATTGTGAACTGCGAGACGTATTGAGGGAGACATAAATAGAGATAAAATACTCCCAAACAAATATGCGAATTTGTTCAGGAACAAGGAGTCTTTCCAAATGGGTATATGAATTCGTAGCCGTAGCTTACATGCCTTCTGTAAACGCTCTACGCTTTACGAATTCGGTTGCTTCCGATCCTTTTGTAAACGTACTACATTTTTACTAATTCGTTGAGGTAGCTTACATGCCTTCTGTAAACGCTCTACGCTTTACGAATTCGGTTGCTTCCGATCCTTTTGTAAACATACTACATTTTTACTAATTCGTTGAGGTAGCTTACATGCCTTCTGTAAACGCTCTACGCTTTACGAATTTGTTAAGGGAGCTTCCGATCCTTTTGTAAACGTACTGTACATTCTGTACGAATAGTAGATGTAGCCTACATGCCTTCTGTATAAATACTCTTAGGAATTCGTTAAGATATGTTATTTGCCTCGAGTAAACAAACTACGCTTCTACAGTTCCTACCCATACTTGTAAGTTAGATTTGCTAGCTCGTCCGAACACCGATTATTTTTATCACGTTACATGGACGAAATAAGTATTAAGGTAATTTTGAATGTGCATTTTTAGCTATTGAATTAATGTATACACTACCTTGCTGTTGTCACTGCGCAATCACTTGTTAATGCCTTTAATTGATGAATTTATTCACTTGCTACGGTCAATGTAGGTAGCGGGAGTGGTAGCGTAATGGTATAGTGAGTGGTAGCGTGATTATCACTCTGCATTTCTGTGTACATCTATGCAATGGTTTTAGTATGTGAATAAAGGAAGATTATTTTGCACGTCTTTTTCATCTCATTGTATATCAGTGTTTCACAGGACTGCTAATATGACTTGAAAATAATTGAAAATTTGGTAATATACTCTATTCGCGCCCACACTATAGATGCTTTTACATTTTGTTGACCCAGTTTAATATTATTTTTATTTATTTAGGTTATTAATGGATGTCTTATAATTTATTTAACGCGTTAAAGATTGGGTCTGACGAACATAGCATAATTTTCGCAGCTTGCTGCGGGTCTCGAACACGCAAGTCATTGCTCCAATCTTTCACGTTGTTAATCGTCCGGTCACCTCACTGATTCTGACACAAACTTTTCAAAGTTGTTTTCGCTGTTGAACACGCAACTCGCTGTTCAAATTTTGGCTCTCTGAATTCTAACCATTCCGGAAGAACCTTCTTGCGGAATTTTTTTAATTCGTGAACGAAAGTAAATTTATAAGCGGTTTCTGAAGACAACACAAAACATAGTATAGGAAACATATCTAGAGAAATATATATAATTACTTATTATTCGTGTTTGAAGCAAATAAACTACCAATAAAGAACGAATAATATATTCGTGCCAACTTACTACAGTAAAGTAGCTAGCTTAGTAATAGTATGATTTAAACAGATGAATATGTAAATGCATACATTAACGATTCCCAGACAATCGTGAACCAGTATTGTTATTCAGGCTAAATAATGCAGCATTTGATTTCTTCGTCGATTGGTCGTCCTAACTGATTAGGACGATCAATATACAAATAAAATGGAGGCGTAAACATAGTTTAATGTTGGCGCTAGAGTCCGTGGATTTGAAATTTAAATTCCTGCGAACTTTTACTTAACTTGAAATATTTACCTTCAAATAATGATGAAAAAGATGTGAAAATTTCTGCCGGAAGTGAGGCAAGTCTCGAAGTTATTTGCGACTATTTCACTGATCTTATTCATACATCAAAAGCGATTAAATTGAAATGAATTTTTGGCTGCAATACATGGCAAAACGACACTTCGACCAAATAATTTTGCTGAACAAAGAAAGTTTTTATTTACGGTAACTCAACTATAACTGGAGTCTGCAGAGTCATGCCTGAACTAAGCTACCTCTAAGCTTAGGTATTGAGTTAGACAGATATTTTTGTCAGAACTAAATTAACTATACGAGTTGAGATACAGAGTCACATTTATGAGCTGGTTTTTGCTATTAACTCTCTTTTATACACCAATTATTTATTATGTTGTTATAAATTTATGATGGCGGTACTTCATTAGTATACTTTACTAAGTACAATAGGAGGATAATCGAATTTTTGCTATTTTGAGGATAATCGAAAACCAGAGACAGTTCTCCAGGCAGTACAAAAACTCGTTGAGGACTTTAGAGCCGTAGGGCTGGAGGTAAACCAGGGGAAGTGTGAACTGATCATACTGAACCATTCGAGAGAGGAAGAGCTCGAGACTGAGGTGATGTTTCGGGGGGTGTTGCCAACACTAAAAGTTGTTCCCGCCCATAAGTCACTTTTACTGGGTGCCCCACTCCACGAGGAGGGCGTCTCCGCCGTTATCCGGGAGAAGCGGGAGGGCTTGGAGAGGATAGTGGAGCGTTTAAAATTAATTGATAGTCATCAAGCATTTACGCTTTTAAAGAATTGTTTCGCTCTACCTAAACTCCAGTACGTCCTACGTGCGTCTCCTGCATATACGCGGGTAGGTGATTTGGAGCGGTTCGATGAGGTGTTGGTTTCTGCCCTCTCGACCATCACCAATGTCAGCTTCGAGCGCGAATCTCTTGAACAAGCTGTGTTACCGGTCCGGCTGGGAGGCCTGGGTATCCGTTTGTCAAAGGAAATCGCGCTCCCTGCGTTCATATCGTCACTCCACTCCGTCCGTGGCCTAGTTGATGCTGTTTTACATAATGTACGACTGGCCGAGGACGACAGTTTGCAGATGGCGGTGGATGAGTGGCGCAATGGGAACGCATGTATTGCTTTGCCCGAGGACGCGAGTTTGGGCCGGCAGAGGACTTGTTTCGAGCCAGTCGCATTAGAAACGACGGGGACATATTGTGAAACGACTGGTCCTTTAATATCACAGATTGGCCGTCGCATTACGGAATTGTCCGGCGAACGTAGAGAGACTCTATGGTTGGAGCAAAGGTTGGGTTTGGCTGTGCAGAGAGGCAATGCAGCTAGCATCCTAACAGCAGTCAGAGAAAAGTTCGCTCAGTGACCCTCGGAGTCGGTGTAGGCCACCATCAGAGGCGTTAAGGTCGGGGCCCCGATCATTGACATGAAACAATTCCCTGTTTTTAATTAATGAAATCAATTCTTTTTTTTTTGTTGGAATGGTGAGTGTGGAATATACCAGTAATCATTGAATTGTTGGCCTTTTTTGTCCGCGGAATTGGCCGTTTTGAGGCCACCTGGCAACCGTGGCAACGGCGCTGCACCAGAAGCGTCTAGTACGCGCAAGGAATACTGATGAGCGCGAGCAGCAAAACAAACCTTTAAACTTATTGAGCTGAAGAGAATACATCGTTGGGAGCTGGCGAAAAATATATTTTTCACAGAATCAAGATGAATGAATAAATTAGATAATGAATAAATAAATGAAGATGAGTAAATAAATAAATAAAGATGAATAAATAAATGAATAAATTTAGATAAATAATTATACTCATCTAAAAAATCAAGGTTTAAGTTATTTTTTTTGTTCAGAGTATTCAAAAGCTAATTCAATGAATAATTTTTTGAAATGATCTATTCATATTATTTTGTAGTTCGATTTTTTCTAATATTACGATATTATTGTGCTCTAATTTAAAACTTTACAACAATCATACTGTTAGTGAGCGTGGGTAACCGGATTCATATAAATAAAAGACTTTTCTGTATTCCTATTCAACTCTAATGATAGATTTTCGACGCTGCTATTCAACATCATCGGAGGGAGCATCATTAGATTGATCTCCCTAACCCTCTATCGCCTGACATGAGTAACCGGAGCAATCTTGTCACAAGCCTTAGTAGTATAATAATATTACTAATATAATATAATATTATTATTAATATTAGAAACCGGAGCAAT